TCACTGACGATGCCGACTACGATGCCGGCGAAACGTTTGGGAATGTTCCACGTCCACGGTTCAACTTTGTTAATGACCCTAGACTGAAAGTTTAGGACAAATAGTTTCTTAACTTGATTTTCATGCTTAAAAGTTAATATCTTATCATCTCAACCATACTTGTTTACGGACCTCCGCAGTCTCAGTCAAGACTTTCTCTTGGGTCATTAGGTCTTGAGGATCAGAACCTGAGATTTAACATTTGACAACTCTGACTTAGGAACCGTATTGCATATAGACGCTTACACAAACACATACACATATTCATACACTCGTGAAAAATTGTAACAGGACCAGTATGAAGGATAATTAACCAAACCACTCTATATCGATCTATCTAGGTTTTTAATTTTCTTTTGGCTCAATTGAGTCTAGATAAGAGGTAAGATAGAACCTGATAGTGTTCTTAGCCTAGTGCTAACATGAGACTTTTACAGGAATGAGACCCAGCTTTGATGATTTACATTATATGATGGACATAAGCTCAGCACATTTTCACCCGAAACAAGAAAAGAAGTCTCATGAACTGCATCAACATGAATATCAAATAAAACCAAACGGCTGCAGTATAACATTCTCATCTGGTATGAACGACTAACGAATCTCTTCTTCATTCCCTATCTTACGAAATGAAAGTCCCCTTAAAAGTGCTATCTCAAGAGCTTCATAAAAATATAGTTTCTCTTCGTATCATTAAACCCAGTTGAATGGGGATACGCTTGGAAGATAATGGAACAAAGATAGACGGATGTAGATATGGAAATTGGCTCTTATAAGGGGGATAAAGTTCCAGGAGGTAGGACAAGACAGCAGTCTGGTGCTGCAAATTAGCATGATGAATATGACAGATGATGCAAAATTTGGTTAGTACTTCAAGGATACTTCCACACTTGAGAGCTGACCAAACTCTATAAAGCGAAATGAGACTATGGTCAATCTAAAGGCTACATCGTGTGTCATCGTAACTACAATCTTGAATATGTTATTTAAAATCTGCATCCTGAGTAATAATTGGTCCCAAACAGCCATTTGTAATTTTTATTTGACTTATGTAAAGGGGATTAAAGCTTATTAGTCATAAATAGGTAAAATTACTCATTTGTTTTTATTGAGTTTTACTAGGGAACAACTGAATACAGTTTTCATCGAGTATCTTGATACTGGATTATTAAAAAGTTTTAGATAGCACCAAGCACAATATCTCTTTCCCCCTTCTGACTTACCTCCATGGTCTCACCATCCATCACCATGGCATCCAGTGTGACATTTCCCAGTTCGCTTGGATTGCCACCGTAGCCGACTGAAGTGATGCTAAGATCGTCCTCTGCCGCCGTGCACCCGGCCACCACAGCGTCGATAGCTGGGATTTCACTTTTGACAGTGCCTTCAATATCAACAGTTGATGAAGTTGACTTTTTCGAATTGTATTGAGCTTCTGCCTTGATGAGTTCCGCCCAAGCAGCATCTGTTGCAGAAGGGAAAGCCCAGGTATTCACCACAATCATTGGCGCTTTACCAGTGTCTTTTAGACAGTGAATCCCCACTGGCAACAAGTCATATGTTGGCGACTGCATAAAACACAGATCGTGGATGGAGCTGGATGGTATCTGTGTGGACAGAAGCGGCGGGTTTTGGTGAACCAACGTTCCATCCACATAGCAACTGGATGCCGTGAAATATAAGATAGCGGAAACTAGGACTGAAACTAAGGGACAGGTGCTAATAAAACAATGATACTGCATATCTTAACAGATGATTTTGGGTCGATGCTAAATCTCGCTTCGTGGTTATAGTCCAGATTGGAATTAAGTTAGCACTGTCCCATTATAGTTCAGCTGGCTTATCAGATGATTATATAAACAACCAGTGAGAAGCGCTCAGATACTCAGGAGAATCTGAATATTTATAATAAGAGTAGTGCAAATGAGGTTCAATATGTGATAATATAAATACTCTGACCAATGATTAGGCAAAGCCAACATTTAGCTGGCCTAGAGTCACATGATTTTTGTTTAATATATATACTCATCAATAAAATTCAGTAAGATGAGTTCAAAGGTTAGGGACTTCTTGAATCCAAACAGATACGTATTTACACCTTATAAAAAGGTAAAATCGAGCTTTATAAAACCTGAAATTATGTTAAGCTCCAAAAAGTTAATGACATTAGAATAGATGAACTCACTTTCACTTTAAGTATGCGTTCAATAAAGAGCCTGAGCTTTGATCCAACAGAGTCATCTTGGTCAGCTGTCGGCTGGCTTTACTGGAACTTTCGTGTTGAGCCTATGTCCGATGTTCCAATGCCTATTTAGATTTCGGTAAAAACGATCTAAAATTTTTTCTGTCATTTTTACAACCATATTTAGGCTTACGAGTCAATACAATTCACCGGCTTATCCACACATGTTGTATGTATACACTAAATCTATCTGTCTTGATGAGTTATAAAGTGAATTCTTTAAATTAGATATATTCACCCTATTTCTTTTAAGGTGATGGAGAACTGGTAGTAGAATTTTCCTATGATTATAGGAATAGAGCTGACCCTTCCATTGAATTTCACCTAGCCTTGCTTTCCCAAAATTTGTTCTCATCCAGTGTGGACTGCAGTTTCAACCTCCCATAGGTCTTATCAACACCTCCAGAAGGAGCCGAAATGTGACTGTGCGACATGTGAGCTTGACACGTTAACTATTCCGCTGGGGGTGTTGATAAAACCTAGGCGAGGCCGAAACTGCAGTCCACTCTGGAGGAGAACAACTTTTGGGAAAGCAAGGCTATGTGAAATTCATTGGAAAAGTCAGCTCTACTCATATCATTGTGGACAAATGCTACTACCAATCCTTTATCACCTTAAACGAAATATGGTGAATACATCTCATATAACTGATTTACTGGTAGTCTTGAAACTTTGACTATATATGAATAACGAATGAATTAAAGTCATATGTCAATATGGAGGCATTTAAGTGTGTGCATTTGTACATGCTTATAAGTCTTCATTTGTAAGAAATAAGAAGTGATATTTCTAAGTAATTAGAAGAACGTGTAGCATCTGTTCCCGGCCATCAAGATGTAATGGTCAGTCGCTCCTTTCTCACTTTCTTTCAATTATTTCCATCAATCTGACTATATAATGTTCTAGAAGAATTCAAAGTTGTGTGAGTGTATGTGTGAGAGAGAAAGTAAACTAAGAATTATAGAAAGTGTAATTGTTACTAGAACTATTATCAACTAAAGACTAGTTGAATTGGTATATAGTAAGTATCGAAGCTATCAGTAACTCTTGCAAAGGAGTTCAGGTCAGATTAGGTTGCCTAAGGTGATGAAGGACTGATGATTATAGATACGATGAGTAACTGGGTTTCGATGAATCTTCTGAAATTTAATTGTTGATGAGTTCATCATTTCCTATGGAAGTGCGTTAGGAAGATATTTGTAGATTTATCTCACAAGTAAATGACGACTAATTCCCGTTGTACTGCAGCCATTTGTCCTTAATACTTCAAGTTGACACAGTCTACAGGACATCCTTCCTCGCTTCTGATGAAAACGGATTGAGCTTTCGTGATTTATATGATATACATCATCAGAGCTGCAACTCATTCTTGTAAAAGTCTAGTGTTAACACTAAGTAAG